AACATAGAATACAAATAATACATGTAACAAATATTTTTCCTAAGTAATAAACACTTTTATTAAAATTATGTAGTTAATAGTAACTATGCACTCACATGAAAAAAGTAGATGACTCGAGGTTAGGGCAATGCTTCGCCTTAGAATTTTATCTTTTCAAATGACCTAGATTAAAATGATACTAAGTCTTGGTTTATTTTCATAATCTGGGTGACTATATTATGATAGTGTAGATTCCTCAATAATCCCAATGGCTACATCAAGATCTATCAAATAAGGAATAACCAGGTAGGATCATACCGGAGGTAGGTTCCGTGTGGTATACAAATTATACTATTTAAAAAATCTAATCTAAACACCTCACTAAATCTAGCCTAGACATCACTTCTATAAGTAGATCAATAAGTATTATGCCATTGGAATCACTGGTAAATCTTAATTTGTCACACCTTCCCTGACCGATTACGAAAATGCCGAGTGGTGACGCTATTTACATAGTTTACCCAAATCACAAAGCGCAAACCTTAACTATCTATTAAACAAAACCCATCTACCTTCGTGTTGATAGTCCTTCCATGACTTGATCCTTACTCAATCCTAGGAACACGTGCGATTTTTGGAAACGTCAACTTGATGTTGGTGAGTTCACAGGTTTTGAGATAAACAAAAGAAACTCTTTTGAAAACTTTTTAGAAATTCTTACAATGATTATGATCATTTTTCTGAAATACCTGGTTTCCTATGCTTTATTATATTTTCTCTTATCTTCTAGCTTTATATTTTTGGACATTCCGTTAATCATATCTCATTATCTTTTTAGAATGCTTTACCGATCTTAACTTACTATCTTTTCAGGATATTTTTCGATCCTGATTAATCTCTTTGTAGGATATTACAGATCGTAATTTACTATCTTTATAGGATATTTTCAGATCCTATCTTATTATCTTTTAGGATATTACTGATCCTAATTTACTATCTTTGTAGGATATTTACCAATCCTATTCACTATCTTTGTATGATTTTACCAATCCTAACTTACTATATTTTAGGATGTTTTATTAATCCTAATGTATTTTATCTACCACTCTAAGGCGTCCATCTTGGTAGTCAGATCTCTAAGGTGGGTGTAATGTATTATCATGAGCCCCCATAATCAACGTTGTTTAACTAGTGTTTCCTTGCATGACACTTCACCGGACATCGAATAGTAATTAATAAGAAAGTTATCATGTCGAGATTATAGCTAGGAACTGCAGGTGGAGGTGTCAATCCGCATATAGATCTATACATATCTTTCTATCTCTCATAAGACTAATGATTCTAAGTTTGGTGTAGCCAAATTTAATCATGCTAAGGATGAATAATAACAGCTCACAAACGCATTAGCTTTAAGTATTTTATCTTTTATCTTTATTTCCGTTATTACCTATAATTATCACAATATAAACCCCTTCAATTTTATATTTTATAATTATACCTTTAAGATCCCATAATTATCTAGTGTGTGTGTGTGTGTATATATATATATATATATATATATATATATATATATATATATTCCATACATATAGACCCTAATTATGGTTAATTTGAAAACTAGATATTTGGGTAAAGTAACGATTATGTACAATACATATCTCTACATTTGACCAACATTACTTCTAGATACTATATTATCCTAGGAAATTGGCAATTATAACGTCTACGTAATACCTCTTCCTAGACTATAGGGCATCATAACTCTTAGGCATGATATCATAGCTTAAATCTAGGTATAGTATCTATAGCTACATTATTCTAAGGTTTCATGATTTATAATACGATTGATATTTATAGATATAAATATATTTTGATAAAGCAGTTTAATAAGCATGTATCCTCCCCCTACCCCCGTAAAACTTGTAAAATAGTAAAATGGGGTCGTGAACTCACTCTAATAGCGTAGTCTAATGCATCCTTGCTATTGCACCCGAAGCTTCGCTCCATTCGGAGGACTTCAAAAATATCTTAAGAGATAGATAGATAGATAGATAGATAGATAAATAGATAGATAGATAGAGAGTTTCGGATGTGAAGAAATCAGACAGTGAGCATCTCTACTTATAGTGCATATGCGGATGACACATTTCACATATGATGTGCACATGACTCGTGACTCCATTAGGGTTTTCCATGTGTCACACTTATGATGGTCCACGTCTCTCCAATCTCAACGAATCTGGGTGTCAGATGTATGCATCGATCATGGCGCATACTTGGCATGCACCTCTAAATCTTTTATAAAAAAAATTCATATCTTCCTTATATTAATCTTGGTTCTTATCCTCTTTATATATTTGTGTAGCTCTTTACTAGTAATACAACTTTTCTTAAGGTTATGTTTCAAAATTTCAACTTTTATTTTTAACCCGAATTTTATATTTTTCTAAAAACCGTATCTTCTTCATACGAACTCCATATTTGACCTTTTCCCTTTTAAAATTCTTATCTCGGAGTACTATGATTTTCCTTTTAGTGACGTTAGCCAAAACTTAGTCGATTTCTTTGTACCAATTTAACGATAATAATGTTATTAACACGATTGATTTTTACTTTTTATAAAATCATAACTCCTTCAATCAGAGTCTGTTTTTTTTACAAATTTTACATCCTTGCGACTACTTTGTTGTGTACTTTCCAAATACACTGACCATTATAAAAAGCGGTGTAACTTTTTGGTTGCTCATTTTTGGCCCTATCATATAAGTGATCAATTTTTTCTTGAAATATGAAAAGCTTTATTATCATCAATTTTCAATTCTAACTTCTAATCAGGGTCGATGACAAGAATTTCCCAATTGTCACATTCTCCCCCTAACTTCTAATTAGCGTAACCTTATTAGGGGAGTTTGGTTTCTTAATTAGGGATAGACCCCTTTTCCTTATGGAGACAACTAAATTTCTTTTCTAGTTTCGTGCTTCTAATTCCTTAACTTTATTATTAGAATCTAACATTTATTTTTTGAAATTCTATTTGATTTCATTCTTATTTTACACCAATAAGAAACCTAAACATTTTATCTTAATACTGGTGTGGATTTCTAGAAGGATTTATATTTTATTTATCTATTACTACCTGTACTCAAAAGTAGATCTTTATATATATATATATATATATATATATATATATATATATTATATATATATATATATATATAATTATATATATATATATATATATATATATATATATATATAACGAGCATAACTTCAAGGGTTTCCAATTCCATTGTTAAACATTACTTAATAATTCCTTTGGGATTTTCCCCTAGATCTCTTATTCTAACTTCCAGTATTCCCTTTTACTAGCTCGATTGAATCTTGCAAACGTTTGCAATGCGCCATGGTCTTCCGTAGTTGTTACACCTAAACTCCTCACATTTGCCCAGACGATGAAGTGCATAATTACTACACAATGGGAGTCCTCCCAAGTATCCCCTTGTTGGAGTGGGTGATCTCTCACGAGGCTTCTTTTCCTCTCTTTCCTTCCACAAGGGTTGCGTAGCTTTGCCCTTGGTGGTTCCTTGCCACGTGTTCCTAAGTTCTTTGGACCTCTTCTTATCCTTCTAGAGTTCTAGGGAACAAGTTTCTTGCGACTGAAGGCTAAATATTTAGCTTCCTCATAGGTATTAGGTTGGTGTGATTGCACCTCGATCTTGATATGGCGAGCTAACCCTTGGAGATATGAATTGATCTTCAGGATCTCCAAGTTTACCAACTCAAGTCATATGGTGACTAGGTACTCAAAGCGTACCGTGTAAAATTACAAGTTTGATTCCTTGATGCTAAGATACTTGAATTCATGATCCACCCGTGACTTATCATCTGCCTTTTTAGCTCTTCGCAAGGGGTTGCATAGGCTTCATTTATTCCTAAAGCCTTGACCTGGACACTCCACTAGAGGAGAGCTCCTCCCTTAAATGTGCATGTTGCGAACTTGACTCTATGTTCACTAGCACACTTGCTCTCTATCTCTTTTATCTGGTGGATCAAACTATCTACTCATCTATCTCTATAAAAATATTTTGCCTTACTGTTAGTAAATCCTGATAGGTTTTTGTCATTTGACTAGCTTCCTTATTGTTTCCCTCATCTTTACTAGCTTTGAGATTCCTTAATGCATTAGAGACTTGATGTTGAATCATAGTATGAATGGTGGTCGGGTCAAGCAAGATTAACATTGAAGGGTTGTTATCCTGAAATGATAGCAAGAATGTTACTCATTGTTCCTAATGGTTTTGTCATTATATCCTTGATTTATTAGGATAATACTAATTTTCCCATTCATAGGGTACTATAGTTGTTTTCCTAGCAACTTTTCTTCCTAAAGAATTTACTTTTATCCTATGTATATGTAGTTTTCTCTCTTATTACGATATGCTAAAGTTGCTTCCTTAGAAACTCTCATGGATCTTCCTTATTATGGTATGCTATTGTTTCTTCCCTAGCAACTCAACTTAAGGCTGAAATTTTCTTATAATTCGAAGGAAATCTCTCTTCTTTGTCCTTAGTCTCTTAAATAGGTTAAAATTCCGCCATAGTAATCATAGGCCATGACTTAGCAGTTTTACTTGATCCTTGCACTTTTGCTATGATTTAGTAACATCAAATTTATTTGTTGTATTATATGACATCAAGTTCTTTCTCTTTTATTCCTACTTGTTATGTTATTCACTTTCAGGCCTATACTTAGTGAATTTGAATTTGGAGATTCCTCTTGTTTATAGTTGAATCAACAATACTACTCAAGTCTAAACTTTGTTTAGTTAACGCAAATTCATACACTTTTTTTCTTCAACTCCCCCCTCCTTTTTTGGAACTTAGTTAAAGTTATATGCTACTATTCTCTAGCTATCTCTCTTTAATTAACAATCGATTCCAAATTTTCTTTTCTTTTTTCTACTTAAGATATGGCTCCTAAAGAAGATGGAAAAACATCCAAAGAAAAATATTTTCATAAGATGTCCAAATCTCAAGCAACTTGCCCTTCCAACATAGCAGGCACATCATTACCTCGATTCGCTATGGTTGCATCAAACTATATTGCACTTCTTAAAATTCAGGAACAAACAAAATAAGTTAGTGTCATTGTTGAATATTTGCAAAATTGCCCACTGGCATATGCATTCCTAGCTACTTCTCCAACTCCAGAGTCTCTTATTTCAGATGTCTTTCAATCTGCAATCATATTGCCAAGAGGAAAGTCAAAACAACTTGATGTTGAATTTAACCTTTATCGAACTAACTTGGTTCATTCTAAAGAAGATTTCACAAATTCTTTAGGTCTAAACAATGGTTCTCCTAAACCTTCAACATTTGTCTCACCTTCTTCTGCTCAACCGTTGACAATGTCCAAGGAAATGGGGTACAAATTTGAAGAAAAAGTTGAACCAAACCTTTCAAGAATTAAGAAAGCTTGGCATCCCACGCCATGACACTTTCTCAGTTTCGGCCTCACTTGGTGTCTTTTCGGATCAGTTGGTGGATGCAATCGTGGTAAAACAGATCATTGGATTGTTATGTATGTACTTTTCTATAATATCAACATTGACTATGCATCTATTCTTTGGGAATACTTCCTCACCTTTCTCCCTGCCTCAAAGACTAAGTTCCTAATTCATCATCCTCGCTGGTGGCCCATCATTATTCATGATGTCATAAATAATAGCAATATCGAACCAGAGGAGATTTTAGAAGGCACACTGCCACCATTCTTTCATATGTCATCATTTTGAATTTGTACTGCATTTGAATCTAAGTTTTCACATCTAGTCATCATTCCAAATGTTATTCTAGCAAAACTGGATGGAAACATTGTCTCTTTGCGCTCATATCAAAAATACATCCAGGGAACTACTTTGTCTCCCAAAAGGAAAAGGAAGCACTTAGATTATGCATCCAAGAAGTAGGAAAAGAAGAAGAAACGATTAAACTCAGATCAACCACCTTCTATCCCATTTCCACACGTATCTGAAGATGATATTGGAGTAGATTTAGATGAACCCACATCTCCTCCTAAATCTAGTACAACTTCTAAGCCACTTTCTTTCTTATATTCCTTATTTCAAGCTCCATCTGCTTATGTCGAATCATCATCCATGACTCTAGATTCACCAGCATACTTTCAGTCCAATCTAGAAGGTCCAAGAAATTGTGTCTCATTGGTTAATTACGACGATGAACAAGAAGGTGAAAAGCAATTCCAACTTCAAAACCTTACTAATAGCTCTGCAGTACAAGATAATCAAGATGAGGATACAACGATCCAGACGGTACACATACCTTCCAGTGAAGGATTGATATTTGATGATGAACTAAATGACATGTAAATTGTGCTATACTACAAAGCATCTACCAGGACATTCATCATTGATCTTGATGATTACTCTCCCCCACCTCAAAAAGAGTCTCAAGAACATGATGATACTTAAGAAGATAAGTTCTCCTCTTTTCCACTAGATCCTCCTAGTGACGATGATACTGTCACACCCCCAAACCGGAACGGCGGAAACGTTCGGGGATGGTTGACGTCATGCGTAGTATCACAACGGTTGTAGCAAGCATAGTAACCATAACCAAACATTGAATACATATATGAAAAAGGTTTTACATTGTCTTAATACATAGTTTTTTTCTTAATAAAGTAAAATGGAAAGACGTGACTCTAATGCGCCGACTTCTCCAAAATCCTGGAAGTACTTGTCTACTAAATCCATGAGAATACAAGTAGTTTTGAAAGAATATCAGCATAAAGCTGGTGAGTTCATAAACATTTAGTTTTGGTGGGAAAATGTTTCTTTGATCCTTTTGAAAAGTGTTCCTCAAGAAAACCCTATATTTTCTTATAAAAAGCGTGTTTGAAAACACATTCCTTCCATGACTTCCCGATTCATATGAGGTATGTACAATCCAAGGAGTCGTGGAATGAATATGAATATCTGTTATTTACATGTAAAAACAAATACGTTTATGAAAAGCCAAGTTATCCTTGGAAAATCCTATATTTTCCCTAAAAACAGTTATCCGTCCTAGAGGTAGAGATGCAAGTTTAGAAATCCCTGATTACTATCAGTATATATAAAAGCAGTTTTATTACTTAAAATAAAACAAATGAAGTGTAGAGTTCATAAACCAAAGTTATTATATACTTATTTACGAGTCGTATAACCATACTTGATGCGACCTAGAGACCTTTATAACTTTCTTCAGGTGTTTAAGCTAAATGACATTTGTTCACCTTAGGCATGTCTGCCTAACTGTATCTAGCAGTTTAGGTGTAGGATTGTCAGTCCCGAATAGATCTATTCATAATCTCATGATCTCCCTCCAGGAGACTCTAGTTATACTGAGATAGGATTTAACCCTGTACATCTAAGGGTACAGTATTGAAGTAGAGCCTCACAATTCTGTATAATCTAGTTTACTAGCTAGAGACAATATAAAACAATAATTATCCTTGAATAATAGTACTTTATAATCGTGAGAAAATACATACATAAATGAAACCTGCCATAGTTTATACATTTTCACCCATGAAATATGATTTGGTAAAAACTGCCTAGAGGGTTATCCCAAACTATACCCATTATAGTTTATTAGAATTGATATGGAAAATGCTTTGTATAAACCTTTCTGAAAGCTATGTAGTTAGATTTCTGAAATAAAAGTTTCCCTTATGCTCAACATATTACAAATATGGATAAAATATTTGAATATGTTATTAAACGTTGGAAATCGTTAGACTGTATTAATAAGTTTAAAACTTAATAAAATACTTTGAGTTTGGCTTGTATCCCCCCCCCCCCCCCCCCGAAAGCATTGTTTTGATTAACCGATTTATTAAACCAATCTTCTAGCTTTTCCTAGTCAAACCGGATTTATGATTAAGATTGTAAATATGGATAAAGAAATGGTGGAATGCGAGGATAAGATTGATATTGATCTCAAGCCATGAGAATGAAAAAGGAAGGCTTGTTTAGTAAAAAAATATTATAAGTTTATGGTTTGTAAATGGAATTAATATGAGTAAATTACTGAAATCGTCCCTATGGTTTGATTAAAATTGCATATTTGGTCCCTAACTTTTATTTTGCACTCGAATCGTCCTTGTGGTTTGATTTTGTTACGTTTTTCGTCCTTATGGTTTCTTCAAAATTGCACGTTTGGTTCCTAACTTTATATATGCAAGGGATGAAAAACACAACAAAACTAAACCATAGGGACGATTTCAGTAATTTACTCAATTAATATATATATATATATATATATATATATATATATATATATATATATATATATATATATATATAAAAGATTTGAAGCTTAGGAATAGTGAACTGGGCATTTTTTTGGTAGAAACGGTCCCTGCACTTTGCTCCTTATTCTTTACCTATTTTGATATTTTTGGTCCTTGCAATAAATATTTTTACACTTTTTAGGAAACTTTTAATATTTAAAGCTTGACCACAAAACTTTAACGGTTTGAGAACTTTGATCCCTTTTCTAAAAATTTGCTAATTCCTGCCCATTTCATTCTTTAACCGTTTTGAAAATTCTGATCCATTCAGTCAAAACTTTTACATTTTTTCATAAAAACATGAAAAAACGGTCCGGGGCAAACTCCGGGTTTTTCATCCTTGCACTTTCTACGTCTGTCATATTTATCGATTCAGAAACAATATTGAAAGCTTTTGGCCCCCGCGTAGCGGGGGTAACCTTTCTAGTTGTTAATTGCAACAATTTACTTGTTGATGTAACATTTTAATGCAATGATTATACCTAATAAATGAAGTTTTTCTTTCTTTTTTTTTTGCATGTCAACACCTAATTCAATATGTCACATGATATTTTTTCTAATTTTTTCATTTTCATTTAAATCTATTTGGTAAATTGTGGTGTTTTTGGCTTTTTATTAAATTATAAAATAATATAATCTAAAAATATAATAAAAAAAATAAGGAAACATAAATGTCTCCATAAATTCTCATGTAATTTGTCGATTACTATATTAAATTCAAATCAACATTCTTAATCGAAAAAAATAATTTTCTAACATCCCTTTTAAATTCAGGATAATTTGCAGAAATCTTGCCAAAATTGGTTCATTCACAACTAATATTGATATTAATTTCTAAATTAAGTTTTGTAAATTATTAAATATGTAATGCTGAAAAAATATATTAATTTTCTTTCAAAAAAATTCGTGTATTATACGGTTCTCACACCTAGTTTCTAATATACCATGCACATTTTCCACATCAAAATTGACGTGAAATTTCACACTGGACAAAAATGACCATGTTGGCAGGAAATGAGTAGTAGCTGGTGAAAAGGACCAAAAAGAAACAAAATGCAAGTTTAACAAGTCATATATACAAAAAATGAGTTAAAAAATAGGTTTAGGAAAATAGTTCCTTGTACTTTTTCTATTTCCCCCTTACAAAGTTACATACAACTATTGAAACTGACTATAGTAGAGAGAACGGAGAAAAACTAAAAGAAAAAATAATAAGTTTAAGGAACCTATCTGGACAATTGCAATGGGACCGAAATGAGACTTAAGTAATAATTGTTTGTACTTTTTAGAACGTTTCCATAAAAAATTACCAAATATGCAACTATAATCATATAGTCGACATGAATGATATTTTAGATCTAATTTATCTTTAAAGTTGGAACATAAATTTCAAAGGATCCTCACAGTAGTCCAAATCACCCATAAGGTTCAATCATCTTCGATGCATAAGAAATGTCATAAAATTTCACTCAATATTATATACTAAATCTACCTTACTAATTAACGCTTCATATACTTTTAAGTTCTTCAAGTATCTAGTATTGTGGTCTCTTATGCTTTAGTTTTCATCCTAAATCAAGAATCTGTTATGAGGTTAACTAATCCACAATGTCTTTTTCTTAAGTGCAAAATCTTTCACTCGGATATTTACATTTCTATAACATGGGTAGATTCTTACCAAAGATAAATTTACAAATAATCCATAAACTCTACACTTGATGAGTGAGTTCTCTAAACTCATCTTTTATTCTTAAATACTCTTCTTTCTTGGCACACCGATGGTTGCAATCTCTTTTCGTATAGTTACTTCAAAGTGAAAAGTAAAACCCTTATAATATTTAAACCTCCATTCGGAGGGAATACCTTGCCTTTAACCTAACTTCAATGTCACATACTTTCTTTATGTTTAATTATTGAATGAGGTAAACTTACTATAATCATATGGCGTATGTAAACTTTATTGTAGTTTTTTTTTTCATCTTTAAAGTTTGGACACAAATCATAAAGGAACATCACATTAAGTCCCAATCACTACTAAGGTGCAATCATCTTCAATGCATAATGAAATGTCCTAAAATTCTTTCACCATCATTTACTATTTTACTAGACTACTATAATTTGGTAAATATACATGTTTGATCCCTAACTTTTTTAACTTAAACAATCCTTAAGATACGTATTTGTTGTGTCTTTGGTCCATGCCAGACTTAAAAAGACAATTATGACATTAATAAATTATTTCTGATTTATTTATTATGTATTACCTTAAAAAATAAAAATGAACATACCTACCCTACCCATATAAAATCCTCTTCCTCCCCTTTTGATTCAAGTTGTCGTTCACCTAACTTCGATAATCATTACAGACTTAAAATCCATACACAAGGTCAATTGTTTTTAAAACGAAATTCCTAAATATTCAAAAACATCCATCATCACCAACCCTAGTTTCCAAAGATATTTGAAAATAGGCATGAAACAGATACCCATTTGAATACCACTTCAGAAGTGTGATTTCAAAATCCATATGTTTTCTTTTTCACCTTCATTTTACCCCATACATATAGTTTATGTAATAGCATATGATGGTTTCTCAATTTAAGTGCAATTTATTTGATATTTACACATGAGCAGGTTGTAAATAAATTGTGGTCCCGATCATTGTTTCTTCTCCTCAGATAGCATTTGTATCTTTATGAAAAACTTAAAATACATCCATCACTCGTGAAAAAGGGGTATAGTTTTTAGCGAGAAGGAGGAGAAGGAAGTGATGGCAGACATGAAATCGAATCAACATCTATGTATCTCATGGAGAGAGAGAGAGAGAGGGAGAGAGAGAGAGAGAGAAAGAAAGAGAGTTGTAAATAAATTGTGGTCCTGATCATTGTTTCTTCTCCTCAGATAGCATTTGTATCTTTATGAAAAACGTAAAATACATCCATCACTCATGAAAAAGGGGTATAGTTTTTAGCGAGAAGGAGGAGAAGGAAGTGATGGCAGACATGAAATCGAATCAACGTCTATGTATCTCAT